TAGCTTTATGCGAATACCGTTTTACCCCAGAAGTATTCATATTGAATAATTGAAAATCAAAACTGAATAAAAGCGGAAGCGTAACTGAATTCATTGTTTTGAGAATTCTTATGTTCTTATGTTTTATGGACTGATTAGGACTTCTAACGATCTTGTTGGACTGGTATGGTCTTCAAAACGAATATCGAAACCTTATAGCAGAAGTATATATATTTTTTTCGTATGTGTTTCCGTATATTTCTGAAATGAAAAGGAGTGCGCTTTTAAAGAGAGAAAGCGCCTCCCCAGAATCTGCTCGTACATTTTTCGTCGTTGGGTCCATAACCAAATAAATAAAAATTATTAATTTTCAGTTCGAGTCCCTCAACAAATAGAAAATCTCATAATGATATCTGCACTTATAAATTCATAACGATTTGATACTCTTGTTAGTCAAAATTACAATTAGGTAGATCACTTTAGTTGAATTATATTATGACGACCATACACGTTTAATTTTACATATGTTGTCCAATAAATATTTCCAGCAGCAGACACATTGATACCGTGGTTGTGTGTCACATGATGTAACAAACATCTTCTAATTTAGAAAGCCTTTTTGGCATGAACAAACGTGCCTTTTCAACTCATTTTATTCATGAAAACCGCAAAGTCCCGAATGATACAAAACATGCATGGGTACGTACGTAAGGATATCGTTTTTGGAGGGACAAATATTATAAACAACAAATGACGGAATTATCAAACCAACTTTCATATAAATAACTGAATATATTAATTTGTTGACATACGTAAAATAACTGAAAAAAATAAACATATATATATATATATAAAAAAAATTAAAAAATATGAAATTACTAGTTTTAATTTGCGTGTTTTGATGAGTTGAGTGTGTGTTTTGGCAGCTCACTCAATATGGTGGCCTTCACTAAAATACTCAAGAAATTCGACAAGGTACGTTATTAATTAGTTAACTAGCTCTATATTAAGGATATTATATATATATATATATATATATATATTACTAAAAAAAATTTAAAAAAAAAGTATGATTTTTACATTTAATTGCATTTATTGTTGATTGTGAATTTTACTGTAAATTCAGGTGTCAAGCCAGCAGGCATCAGCAAGTTACCTCAAAGTGGTAAAGAGATCCCATTTCATTAGCTCGGATAAGGTAAGTTTATATATATGCTTAGAATTATTATTAAAGCGATTGAATAAAATGTCTACTTTAACTAGAAATGTTGGAATAAAGAAAATTGTCGGTAACATAAAGAGTGGTTTTCCATAAATTGTTAAATATATTGCTAAGGAAGATCATAGTTTTTTGACTCGTACTGGACCGGTAGGTCGACGGGGACCTCGTCGACCCAGAGCCGAAACCGGTCCAGGTGGGCTATTTGGACCGGACAATAAAGGACTCAGTCAAAACCCGGCCGGCCCGGACTTGACCTGGCCGACTCGGTGCATTGACCTGGCTGGGTCAACCCAGTTGACCCGGCCTATATATATTTTTGTAAGTTTTTTTTTTTTTTTAAAAAAAAAATAAAACTATGTATATATGTTTATATGATAAATATTATGATGAGATACATATTATTAATACTTTAATGTACGTATTTTATACACAAAATATTTAATTTTGTTAATTTTATGTATATTTATATGACAAAAATAATAATTTTAAAAATTTTAAAATTAATAACTCGGTTCAGCAATTTACCTGGTGGCACGATGACCCGGAGGCCTGCCAGGGTCGATTATCGGGCCGGGTTTAAAAACTATGAGGAAAATAAATATTCTAAACCGAATTAGAGGTGAAACCAATCAATTGATGTTTATCATTTGGAATTCCCACTCAACAAAATTCTTAAAATGTAGTCTACTCGAAAGTAATTTATAACATATTTTACAAAACTATGTGAATTACAAGTATGAATATAAAATTTATATTTTTTGCATTCATTAAAATGAATCTATTTTTTTATAAGTTGTTCATATCAAAATTTATGTAGTTGAGTAATTTATTAAATTATAAATAATTGACGTTCAAGTTAAAGTTAACCGTGCGTTATGAATAATTACTTATTTGATTATTCATTACATATATGACTTGCACCATGAATGAATAGTCAAATAAGTAAGCTAATGTATCAAATACGAAAATAAACTACGAGAAATTAAATTTAAAGCGTGGCGTACATATGTCATTTTCCTATGTAATTACGCCAAACGTGTTAACATCAAATTCTTACGATTCAGTAATTAGTTAGGGTTTGTTTGGGAACACTTATTGAGAAATCCATTTCAAGATGGACTTTTGGAAAAATAGATTCTCAAGAAGTGTCCAGTATAAATTTCTTTGAAATGGACTTGTAAGAGTTACTTCTTTAAAAATTCATTTTGTTATTTACACCAAACATATTTTTATACTGGAATGGACTTTTATAGTGAAAAGTCCATTACAAAAGAACTTTCAAACATACATTAAGGAGTCTGAATACCATACAATTCATTAATAAATATGCATATATTCATGCTTGAATGTTATATAATAAAAAAAAACAAATAAAAAATAATATTTACAATATAAATGTATATATATATTTTTTTTAATCAAAAAGTATAATGACTTGATCCGTCTAAAATCATTGGGTAGATTTGATTTTTGTGTTACCCATTTTGTCTTGTTGATCAATAAAGATTGGAGAATATGATTTTCTTTATGTAATTAAAAAACTAATTTGTGTTCAGTGTTACCCCTTTTGTGTTGCTAATGAACATAGATTAGAAAGGTAATCATTTTGTTTGTCATAAAAAAAATATTATAATTCTTTTAATTAATGCTGGTGTTATAGTGGTGTAATAATTAATTAATTAATTAATTATGTGGATGGTAAATAATGGTATTTTTTTTTTTTAATTATTTATGTGATATGGTGTAAAGGTAGTAAGGCTAATGGACGAAGTGGAGTCCTTATTCACACAGCACTTTGCCAACAATGACCGCAAAAAGGCCATGAAGTTCTTGAGACCCCAACACCATAAAGATTCTCACATGGTTACTTTTTTTGTTGGTACGTACCACTTTTTAATTCAACTTTTCTTAGGTATCGATGAAATTGTTCCGTAACGAGATCGTAGCATTTTTCGTAATTTAAGTTAGGGCTGGGGCGGGCCGGACCTATTGAGGTTCATTGTATATACATACAATTAGGTATCAAACAGAAACTTAAAATAATAATATGGGTTACAATTACACTCTTGCCATTGTATTATTAAAGACAAATGAAAAAACCAAATAATAATAATAATAATAATAATAATAATAACTCACAATGTTGTAACTTAAATCTCGAAAATTATTTATATTAATTTCTATATGTTATTATTTTTGTTTTGGCAGGTTTATTCACGGGCAGCTTTGTGACGTTGTTCAGTGTATACGCAATATTGGCCCATTTAAGTGGTATGTTCTCACCCGGAACTGAATCCGCTTACATGGACACCGTCTACCCTATTTTTAGGTACTTTCCATCTACTTTTTCCCACTTTATTCTTATTAACATTATAGTTGTAACGGAATCGAACATTCGCAAACAAAAGCTCGTTCGAGCTCGTTCGTGTTCGTTAAAGGCTTGTTCGTTTGTTAATCGACCCGAGTTGAAAGAAAATTATGCTCGTTTAATAATCGAACGAACACGAGCTCGTCCGCGAACGTTCGATAATGTTCGCGAACATTAATTTAATATTAATTTGTTTTATTTTTTATATATTTACATAATATTTTTAATAAAAAATCTAAAATATGTAAATACCTTTATTTTATTTTTTTATTTTCGAGTTCGAACGAACAAATTTCGAGTTAATCAAACATATTTAAAAAGTTGTAATATTAAATTATTCGAATACGAACGAACTCGAACTTTGACGGACAATTAAACGAACGAGCTCGAACACAATTTTTTGCTCGAAAACTAAACTAAAGAACACGAACATTGTTCGAACGTAAACAAACACGAGCTCGTACAACCCAAGCTCGGTTTGGTTCGGTTTTGTTTGGTTCATTTACAACATTAAGTAACATTGTGATGATGTGCAGCATGTTTGCATTACTGAGCTTGCACTTATTCATGTACGGATGCAATCTGTTCATGTGGAAAAGCACGAGAATCAACTACAACTTCATATTCGAATTCCAGGCGAGCACAGCCCTTAAATACCGAGACGCTTTCTTAATCTGCACGTGTTTGATGACTTCCGTTGTTGGGGCTTTGGTCGTACACCTAATCTTACTGTCGACCGGCTTTTCACCTCACTGGGTCGACTCCATTCCCGGGATTCTTTTGGTGGTTAAGTAGCTTTCCAAACTTGGCTTAAGCATATTCTTTTTACTTCTTTATTTAAAAAGTAATATGTTGTTATACTGCAATTTATTATTTCAGAGCTCTGCCATGCTTTTGGTATGTCCATTCAATATATTTTATCGGCCGACAAGGTACTGTTTAATTAGAGTCATACGCAACATCGTGTGCTCTCCATTTTACAAGGTACGTACGACGTCTAAATTCTACTCTACTGCATGACATAGATTAGAAGAAATTCACTAAATTTATAAGAAAATTGTGTTTACGCAGGTTTTGTTGGTTGATTTCTTCATGGCCGACCAGTTGACTAGTCAGGTAAACATGAAGAAATGCAGTACTTTTAAATGCAAACCTTAAAAGTAAAAGAAAGAGAAGTAAAAGAAGTTCGGTTATCATTGCGCAGGTTCCGCTGTTGAGGCACATGGAATCGGCAGCCTGCTATTTTCTGGCAGGGAATTTCAAAACACACCGGTACGAGACGTGCAAGTCTGGAAAGCTATATAGAGAGCTCGCGTATGTCATCTCGTTCGCACCCTACTATTGGCGTGCCATGCAGGTAATTAGTACTTTTGCATGATTATTAACCAAAATAATAAAAATTGCATATATAATTTGATAAATAATTTATTTAATCTGTTTGGTGATTTTGTAGTGTGCAAGAAGGTGGTTTGATGAATACAACGCGGACCATCTTGCTAATCTAGGAAAGTACGTTTCGGCTATGGTGGCGGCTGGGGCAAGGCTCACTTACTCCCAGCAGCCATCGCAGCTATGGATGGTAATTGTGTTAGTCACATCAGTCGTGGCCACGGTTTACCAGTTGTACTGGGACTTCGTCAAAGATTGGGGACTTTTCGACCCCAAATCCAAAAACCTTTGGCTTAGGGATGAGCTTATACTCAAGAACAGAGGCATTTACTATGCTTCCATTGTGAGTCGTATCTTTCTAAAATTTTCTACATTTCGATTTGTGCACATTTTGTTTCAAATACAATACAGTTTGATTGTTTTTTTTTTTTCTGGCTAGGCTCTTAATTTTGTACTGAGAGTAGCGTGGGTGGAGACTATGATGCGGTTTAACACGGGGATGTTTGAGTTACGGGTGATTGAATTTTTTCTTGCATCGTTGGAGGTTATTCGACGTGGGCATTGGAACTACTATAGGTAAATGGTAAAAAATAAAAATAAAAATAAGCGTCCTCGACCAACTCCTTGTGGAGGGAGATAAACTATATCCTGATGTGTTATGTGGTTTTGCAGACTGGAAAATGAGCATCTGAACAATGTTGGAAAATTCAGAGCAGTGAAAACAGTTCCATTGCCGTTCCGTGAGGCGGAGTCTGACGGGTGATGAGATTCGGTTATGCAAGATTTGTCGTTGAGGGGCTTGAAAAAAGTGGTCGTTGCATTGCGATACATATATTGCTGGCCGCCTGAGCAAGCACACCAATTGTGTGTGTATTTGTTAGTCAAAATTAAACCAAAAAAAGATGAGATACTTTGGAATTTTCTTGCCTAATGTGCATGTAATATTCCAGATCGAAAACTGTTTATACATTTTACTATCTCTTTTTTCCGATTTGTAATTTTAATGAATACGTTGCTTTGCTTTCTCTCAGGTTCTGTATTTGTTTATTTCATGATTAATTATACTAATACAACAAGAAGAAGAGCAACTGCACACAAACTTGTCCTGAAAATTCAATGAAGACAAATCCTTAGTCTCCCTTCATCCTCTCCGCCTGAATCGTGATCATCAGTTCACCCCCAACTGCCCCCCCGGCAAACAAACAGCCCCTCCGATCTGCCTCACTACTCTTTCGTTAATTCGTCGTCCGATTCTGGGCACACGATCCAAACCTGAGAGGGGTGAGCAGCCAATGGTTGTGCCATTTCTAGACTACTTTCTCTCTCTTCTCCATTTCTTGTAGGGCCATTTCTTGCCAAGACTTTGGGCTCCACAGTCACGGACGAGCAAAGTCCGTAGCATCGCTCTTATTAATATTTTCGCTTCATAAAAGCCCCTCTTCATGAAAACTTCAGCCACCTGCAAAAACATAAGTAAACAAATAGACGGTTTACAAGATTGAAGATTTCCCTTATAATTACCAATATCATGTCTTTTGTGTAGTTTGTGAATGTCAAGAAGATGGTTCAAGGAGAAAGAATAAAACAAAAGCAAAATTAAAGTCGAGGCCGAGGCCGAGGGGTTTGAATGCCAATTCGAGACGATGGGTTGTCAGATTGTGGATCTGTCCGCGGGGATCAGAGACATACGACTGGCTCTCCAAATCATCGTTCAGGGCGAGCAAATGAACCATAATTTTTCCAGGGAATGGGGCGGAAAGGGAATGGGACGGAAGCAGGGAGCACGCGGTGGGATTGACAACAGGGCATTGGGGGCCCCCCGCAATCGATCGTCGCCACCACTGTACGATGAGGAGAACGCCGAGGACACCTTGTCGGAGGTGAACCATTTCGGCGTCCTCGCAGATCTACTTGAAGACGAGGGCTTCAGCGGTTGTTGGGAGGCGGTGTTGGGTGGGCATGTAACACCCCGCTATTTCATGAAAATCAGAGTGCATTTTTTGTAAAGTTTTTTTTTTTTTGAAATAAAAACATTTAATTTGCGAAACACTGATTCGGAGTGCTACCATAAAACGTGAC